AATCCACAGCCCCGTAGTCAAGTTGTTTTTCCCGCTTTTTTTTCTACACTTACAGTTATAGAATGTTCTGGAGAATTTTAAAGCGAACTGGAATGGCTGACGAGGCTGACGTCATTTCTTGGAAGCTCCGCCTTTCCGGAGGCCATAAAAGGACTCGCAAAGGAATATCGGGGTCTTTTCTTTAATGTCACAATGCAGTAAACTTCATACAAAGAGTTATTAGTAATTCTTTTTTATTTACTCCGGAGGTATGATTTTTTGTAACTGCTATTTCTCCTGACCAATAATAAATAGATCCTTGTTTTTTAAACTTATCGTCTGATAATTTAAGCTACGACTAAAATACATCTGATTCTTCATTCCTTCATCTATTTATTCCGGACAAAAGCTGGTACATCACATATATATATATATATATATCCTTAAAGTCTAATTTTTTATTAATTAGTTTCTTGTTATTTTTTACATTTTTATGTCCTTGTACGAAGTAAAAGAAATATTGTAATCGAGAAAAATTTCCGATATCATATTTCAAAGAAAATACCCACTTTGATCGCTATCGAACGCAATTTAACTATACTTTGCCTGACACCTGTACGTAAGGAAAGAATAAAAGACTAAATTCCCCAAAAGAATTAAAAAACTGATTTAAAATGGCTTGAGAAGAGATGTTTTTCGTGCCGTCTGTGCGTATGTATGTATTTATCTCGCATAACTCAAAAACGAAAAGCCTCAGAACCTGGAAATTTTGTATATAGGACTGCTATAACATGTAATTGTGCACCTCCTATTTTGGTTGCAATCCGCCACACGAAAAGTATATTATATATGCGCTGTGTTACTCAGCTCAATGAGCTGTTTTTTTTTTAAATTTTTATTTATTTATTTTTATTCTTATATGTTGGTAATTTGTGCCCCCCCTTTTTTTTTCCGTTAAAAAATGATTGAATTATGTTATTTTTATCTTGCGGTTAAGGTTTTTATGCCTTTAGTTAATCTGCATGCAATAGCTGTACAATTATCAACAATTTAAAAGTTGTTTAGGGGCGTGTAAGCCTAATTTTTTTTTTACCATAGCAGCCATAATTGTTTACATTTGAAACTTAGCCGAACAGTGAGTGAATTGAGTCTTTCTGCACCTTCAGTGTCTTTTTGCCGAGTGGGACCAAATGAAACTTTTAGTATTGTGCACCGAAAAATCTGTCTTTTTGCCCGCTGGTGGAATTGCTTGTTTTTGCGTAGAAACTGTAATTTTATTTGTAAAAGTTTTAAAAATCGTTTGAACTGTGTCTGGTGTTTAATTTTTTTTCTATATCTTTCAATTTTTAATGAAGATATTTTGAGTTTTAATGTATTTTGCATTGCCGCGAAGTGAGAATTGAATTAATTGAATGAGAACTATATCTCTAATAAAATTCGAGGAAATAAGTTTAAATAAAATGCAGGAAAAAATGCGTATAATTTAATATTCCGTACAAGGAAGTCATGTGGTGTACAACACGTCAGAGTTTTTCTTCAGGTAAATATTAGATACATCCCTGATAATGATAAAAATACTAAATAAATACCATATAGAATAATACCAAGAAATCAAGCCAATCCACAAACATTACCAATACGTAACATCCAATAAAGTATCATACTTTATACATCGTTACATTCTTGAAAACGGCAAATGCTACAATATCAAAATAACATAATCTATCATTAACTATATTTTATGTATCATAGCCCAAATCCAACATTCTTAGTATTGTTACGAAATGTACAGGCGCAGTAAGATGGCTTCCCCGCAGAGCAGTTTTAGGGTTGCCATAAAATGACAAAGGAAGACAGGGTTGCCACGCTTGGCGAGAAATCGCCCATTTGGCGACATTGTCGCGTCTGTGCCGCGTAACAGTATTTATTAAAAATTCTATATAAAAATTATTATACATTTAGAATAGAATTTTTTTTCCCCGCAGAACAATGCTTGTGCTCATTTTGCAGTATTTTTAAAGTATAGTTCTTCTGCACAGCGGTCTTTTTAAACATCATAAGACTGAGTTTTCTCCAACTCAAGGTCAACGATAGATTATGAAACTAAGATTGAAATTCTTTTGGAATTTTTTGTGCATATTATTTTTGTAGCTTCAAATTATTCTTGTAAATCTCATAAAAATTTCGTTACACAGTTCCTAAGGTCACTCTAGATGTCAATAAATAACTTTCCATAAAAATGAGACGTAGTGTCAGGTGTACAATGTTTTTTAAATGACAAGTGCACTTAAAATATACGAAATTAAATTATTCATTTTGAAGCTTCTGTTGCAATGTTTTTTATACTTCAGTTTGTAATACCACTGCGCCATTGCCGTGAGAGTGAAAATTTTAATTTGTAACTCTGAAATAACGCAATAGACTCTACAGTATATCTACGAAGTCAGCTAAAATCGAAATGCTTTTCCAAAATATTTTATGCCAGAAAATAATTATTACCTATATTTATTTGTCTTCTTTTATATACTTATTAGCCAGTTCTTCTTATTAGTTTAAAGAGGCTGTTTTGCACTGTCACTACACTATAATAAACTCTGGAACAATGGACTGTATTACATTACACTTTTATTCTCATCAATTTACATCGTTCATGGCCACTCGAAGCCACGAATTCTCTCATACGCTTTTAGCTCACGAACTCTAAGAGTTCGAAGCGCATGCGCAGATGCTAGTAATTAGATGCTCGCGCAGGCGCAACAGAGGCATAAACCCAGAAGGGCTATTAGTCTCGAAACTGTATTTTCTGTCGAATCGCTAAAAGCGTTGACCCACTTTTCAAATTGTTGCCGACAAATATTATCGCCCTGTGTTATACACTGGTGTGCAAACATTAAGGACGAAGTCGAAAAATTAGCATATCAGCTGAACGAAGAGGCAGAGCGGACAGAAAGACCAATCAGGAGATTAAGTAAGGTGATGTACGGTAGCACATGCGCAGATAGCAGGTTAAACGTAATGGGGGAGTGTCTGAGTAGTATAAAGCATGTTGTCGGTGTAAGATCAGTATTTCTGGCAAAGAGATTGCACGCCGTATAGCAGTTAAAATCACACCGAGTTGCTGCCTCAGCGAGAAATGGCGAATAATCAATCTGTTAGACGACATCTGGATGCTTTCACCCGAGGTCGAATCATTGGGAAGTTGGAGGAAGGCTGCAGTGTGACAAGTGTGGCTGCAGAGTTCGGAATTGCTCACAGCATCGTTTCACGACTTTGGAGACATTTTCAAACTACAGGAACAGCTATCCGGGGGTTTAGTAGTGGTCGTCCACGAGGAACCGCACCCGCAGATGACCGGTATATTGCCTTACAGGCCAGAAGAAACAGGCGGCAGACAGCGGGAGAAATCGCTAGACACATGACACAGGCGACTTGACGACCGATATCGCGTTTTACCGTGGCCAGAAGACTGCACGGTGGTGGTCTGTTTGCACGACGCCCTGTACGGTGTGTACCTCTAACGCTTGCCCATCGGAGAAGGCGTTCTCTGTGGTGTCGGGAACACCGGAATTCGTTCTCTCCAATTGGATGGGGACGAGTTCTCTTTACAGATGAGAGCAGATTCAGTTTGAGTAGCGATTCTCATCGCATACTCATCTGGAGAGAGCGGGGAAGCCGCAATCATCCCTCGAACATCATTGAAAGGGACAGGTATGGAGGTGGCGGTGTTCTCGTTTGGGGAGGCATCATGCTTGGTAGTCGTACAGACCTTCACATCTTCGACGCAGGTTCAGTCAACGGGACCCGTTATTGTAACGAGATTCTTCTTCCATATGTGCGTCTTTTTAGAGGCGCTATGGGTCCGCAGTTCCTTTTCATGGACGACAATGCACCATATCATCGCACAGTAGCTGCCGAACAGCTCTTAGAGAGTGAGGATATTGAACGTATGGACTGGCCGGCACGATCTCCGGATCTCAATCCCATCGAGCATGTATGGGATTTTCTAGGCAGACGCTTGGCAGCTCGTACCTTACCACCAGTAACGATTCCGGAGCTTCGATTGGCGCTGCAAGACGAATGGGCAGCAATGCCTCAACAACTCATTGACACCCTCATTCTCAGCATGGGCAGACGCTGTGAAACCTGCCTAGCAGTCAGGGGAGATCATATCCCCTATTAAAGACTGCATGTTTCTTGCTGGACACCCATCACAGGGATGTTTCGGCCTTCAATCGCATTGCGCTCCATGCTACTTTTTCAATAAAGCTTCTTTATACCTCTGATTTCTCTTTTAGTAAGTGTTGCGTACATTACTCATGTCCTTACGTATTGGGGATCTTACGGTGTTAAATGTGTTAATTTGGAAAGCTTTTGTACAAAGTTATATTGAAAAAACCGTCTCGTCCTTAATTTTTGCACACCAGTGTATTTAAAGAAATTAAATAATGAATTTTGTGTATTTGTATACAAAATAATGAAGTATGGATGAAGAATCTGCATGTGTATATATATGTTTTTCGCATTGTGAAAAAACAACATCGTGGACCGCTGATGCCAAACAAGCAGCAACACTACTACACAGACATTCTAAGTGTTCTTTAGAGGCACCAAATTCTTAATAACGTAGTCCTCCATCCGAATATATGTGCCTAAAAGCCCGAGTTTCGAATTTGTTCTATTATCTATTTCATATTCGTAAAATGTTAATGACTTTTTTATTAAAAAACTCAAGGATTTCAAAGCGAGCAGTGGCTACACTGTACGGAATGAAAACATTTTTATCTACAGCGCGCGAGAACGTGTATCGAAAATTCTAAAGCTATGCTGTTTTTAAATATTTTAAGCCCAAATGTTCTCGACGGGGCTGTCGAAACATGTATGTGTGTGTAAATGAGAAAAAAAAAAAAAAAAAAAAAAAAAAGCGCCCCATTGTACGTAATATAAAATCTGAAAGCTTTCAGATTTTTTTTAAAATACTTTCTCATATACGTTTCTTGAAAATTTAAATGCTTTCTTTTTTGTCCTTACAGATCGTCTCTATTTCGCCACCCTTCAGGATAAGAAGCGGCCGAAAATTTCAGTGACTCATCATTATTTCAGCATCGATGAGGAACTCGTTTACGAGAGGTGAGATTTTACCTTTTGCATATTTTCTTGTTCTAGAGATTGGTCTATTCGTTGATTATAACAAAACACCGGAAATATCGGCTCTTAAATATGCCTTCGTGGAGAAATTTCCTAGCAAAATTGGCCAAGCGGCGCAAACAACAGCGTAAACAGCATCTTTGTCCCATACAACCGTTGATATTTGCTGAAGTTTTATATGATTCGGGTCTAACTTGTAACTATTTAGAAACCGGTACTTTACGCGTGCTATATCTCACGTAAAGTTTTGCGAGGTGCCGGCCGTCGTACTGACTGACCAATTTTAAACTTCCATTTTTTAAATTATTTTCAAGGAGCATTTTTCATGAAAAATGCGCCGTTTCCATAAATGTAATTCCAAATATTTAGCATAATAGAAACATAGCAAGAAAACGCCTCGTGTTTTTTTTTCCAAACGCGGGGCGTTTTCGAAGCCTAATGTGAATGCAAATGGTAACGTTTAACTGAAGTCAGATATGACATCGCATACACTCTTTTGCAAAAACATCGAAGCAACAAGAAGGACTTTTGCGATCGTGATGAAATTTGGTATGCAAAAACATCTTGATCGAACAAGCAAATGATCGAAGTTTCAAGGCAAACGAAAAGGAATTGCGATCATAGCGTACATTTCTAGTGCACAATTCGCAAAGTATAAAACCAGTAAGAGAGGCGGAAAATTTATCTTTTTAATTTGCTGCCATTTTAATTCCGTAAAGAAGCAACTAAAGATGCCATTACGACAATATTCGAAGACCTTACAGACAACTAAACGACTTTGAAGTGCTCGTATTGTAGGGTTGCGTGAAGCTGGGTGGTTATACCAGGCCGATACCTGCAGCGTACAGACACTGCTGTGGAAAGGATGTTGGCAGCAGTGGTTGCTACAAGGAAACTGCCGACGAAATGAAGGCTCTGGAAGGCCAAGGAGCACAAATGCGAGGCGATATAGGATGATTGTTCGCCAGGCCTGAACCGTCCTAACGATATCATTGCCGATTATTCAACGCGCTACAGCCACATCTATACCTCCCGTGGTACCGTCCACCATCTCACGTTGCTTGTCTGAGGCGGGGTTACGCTCACAGAGATCTTTAAGACCCCACAGCATCGACGAAGTCATCTGGAGAGGTGTCACAGCCGATCATCATGGCTGCCATCAGACTGGTATCGTATAGTGTTCAGCGATGAATCCCGCTTCGCTCTTGAAGCAGTTGACCAGTGTGTTAAAGTCTGCAGAAGACGGGGCCAGCGGTCCCAATCAGCCTTTGTTTTACAAAGGCATACAGCCATAACCCCTGGTGTGATGGTGTGGGGCGCTATTTCTCATGACAGCAGGTTATCTTTAGTCATAATCCGTACATCTTTAACAGCTGAGCGATATGTTGATACCATCCTGCGGCCGTTTGCATTACCCTTCATGGCTCGTCATCCTGGGGCTATTTTCCAGCAAGACAATGCCAAGCCACCTACCGCTCGCATATCTCTGGACTGTCTCCGTGCGGTTGATACTTTTCCCTGGCCACCAGACCTTTCATCAATCGAGCATGTCCAGGTCACCAGACCTTTCGGGGGACATGGTAGTCCGCCAGATTCGGGCACCACAAAATACCGCATATCTGGAGCGACACCTGATGAATGCCTGGCAGAATGTGTCGCAGGATGACATTAGGAAACTCTACACCACTCCTTGCCTCGAGGAATTCATACATGCATTGTCGCCAGGGGCGGCTCGACCAACTACTAAATTTGAACACTCAATATGGGTGATTGTGAGCCGTGAATAGGTACTATGACCTTGATTTTTTAATCATTTTGTTATCTGTGTATGAGCTATACACATATCCAATTTCATCCAAAAAAAAGTTCTTTCATGGTGCTTCGATGTTTTTACAAAAGAGTGTATTTCGCTGTATTTGGTTGATTTCCCTTCCCTCAATACCATTGTTGGTAAAGAAATGAAGGGTCAGAAATTTTGAGCCAAATTCCATTGGCCTGTGCTATCTCGCTCAGCAACGTAGTCTGTTTATACGATTCAACGAAGTTCAGTTTACACGAACTCTCACTGTATTTCGTTGATTTCCCTTCCCTCAAAGCGAGCAATACTCTGGGCCGCTGATGCCGAACAAGCAGCAACAGTACTACACTGACAGCCTAAGTGTTCTTTTCGTCCTCAACAAAAGAGGCCATAGGAGCCCTCATATCGAAGCCCTTAAAGAGATCATTATCACATCCTCAGAGAATATCCCGCTCAAACTGCCCTGAATGAAAGGTAACTCAGGATCTAAGCGCAATGAACGAGCGGATGAGTTAGTCAAGAAGGCCCGATTAAAGTAACTATAGACTTCCACCTCCCAATCACAACAGGTTTCACAGAAAGGAGGGTCAAATACGCATGCGGATTAGACGGCTACCAAGCAGGAGCACTTCACTACATCATGGACTGCCCACTCACCCAAGATCTGAGACAGAGACACTTTCCCAGCAACTTCAGGAACCTAATTCTTACCTCACTCTTCAATCAATACTATACTAAAAGGCGAATCCTAGCGATTAACTCAAAGATTCGAGCCGAAAAGTGATGTAACAGGCGGAAAGCTGGCAAAGGCACAGACGTAGGCCGCGCCTTACCTGTTATGTTAAAAACTTGTAAAACGTTCCCAACATTAGGTTTAGACTTAAATATAGAGGCCCCCTTTTTGATGAAAATACAGAGGCTGTTCACACATTTTTTAGACGATGTATATTGTATTCACAAAACTAAATTACATAAAATTCTTGTGTTTTAAATGTTCTATTTGACATCCCTTATTCTGAACTATCTTTCGACACCGCAATTTCCAGGATAATAATGCCTTTTGAAGTGGCAGAAGAGGTATTCTATCCCATTCCTCCCGAACAGCTTTCCAGAGTCCTGTTAGGGTTTGGAGACAACGTTTGGATAATGCAGTTTTTAAAAGTCCGAAAGTACAAAAATCCATAGGTGAAACATCGGGAGATTTAGTAGGGATATCAGTGAAGGGTATGGCCTTGATACCAGTTTTTTGTTCCATTTCTTTTAGGAAATTTACAGTGGATTTTGATGTGTGACTGCTAGCTTTGTCCTGATGGGGTCTCACAGATGGATGGCACTGTGGGTAAAGCGATGGTATTTCATTCAGAAAAATGGGCGATAAAATATGTTCCTGATAGTATTTGGAGTTAATCTTGACATTTTTTTTTTTTTTTTTTTTTTTTTTTTTTTTTTTTTGCACTCTCTTTATTTTTAACATGCCATTATAAGAAAAACCAGCAACAATCATGAATCCCTTAGAAAACTTTCTTTCGATTCTTTGAACCATGTACTTAAATTTTTTCTCCCCTTTTATGATAATAAATGGCTCTTTTTTTTGTTACAATCATTTAAATACACCCATGCTTCATCTATTGTGACAATTGTTTTCCATTTTTCTTTGGATAAGTGTTTCTCATATAGAATTCTGCAGCGTGTCCTGCGTTGAGCGATATGCTTTGGAAAAAGACGACGCACATTGCGTTTTTCGCTTTCTTAAGATTTAAATCAACGTTTATCATTTGTTTACAGTGGACACCGAGCATTTTAATGATTTTGCAACTGTCCTTTGACTAGGGGGATTTTCTTTTAGCATTAAACAACGTACCTTTGCAATAGTGGGAGATGTCCGTTTTTTCCTTCGATATTTTTTGGAATTTTTGTCCCACTTGAGGCTCCGATTTGACATTTTTTGCCTTGCTTGTTGATGATATTACCTATCGACGCTTCAGATATCACAAAACCGTGACTCTCACATCGTTTTTGGATAACGGGGTATGCATATTTCTCTTCGGAAAGAGCGTCAATGTAGCCTTCCAACCACTGCTTTGTTAAATTCGCCATTTTGAATAAGAACAAAACTTTCAAGCCGCAGACGATAATTTTGACTTTTAAAAACATAGTACAATTGCAATTACGTCTTTTGCAGCGAACGAATTTTTATTACCGCTTACCAAAATCGTCTAAAAATGTGCGAACAGCCTCTGTAACTTTGTATTCTTGACTTTTAATTAAAGGACAATGGTCCAAATAAGACGATTTGTTGGCCTAACTGACAAATCTTTCAGTCAGAGTAAAAAAGAGAAAGAAGGAAATGATACGTCTCCGAACCGCCATTGTTCTGATTTTTCTGAGCTACCACTTCCTTTCCCTTATACCTTTGTTGATAGAGAACTGAAGGGTCGGAAATTTTGAGCCAAATTCCATTTACCGATACTGTCTCATTCAACAATTAGTCTGCTTATACGACTCAAGTTCTAGTCATACGACTTATGACAGGTATGCCAGACAGTGACCGTTCTCGAAGGATACCACCAAAAAAATAACATGGAGTGAATCCTTTCGCCGGAAAGAGAATGCCTTCTGAACTGCCACTTTTCAACCCTGTTATGCACTCAGTCATTGTTGAATTCTGTTTGGAAACCAAACCAACGAAAATGGTGACGTCATCTCAACCAAATGAGTTTCGTCTGAGGTCTGGCCTAGAAGTTTTAGACTTTGTAAGCATTATGTTCATTTTATTAACAGTTAAATTTTGAGTTAAACTTCCTTTCCTATCGCTTCTTAATTTCAACTTACCACTTCCGGTCAGAACGTAGTTTTAGAATCATATCTGAATGCTAATGAGGAAGAGCGGTATTTAACCGCGAAGTGCTACTGTCTTAGTGAGAGAGATACCAGATATTCTGACTGCACGCTTCCACCTTTTTAGGCTATTATTACGCTCGGCCGTACTTTAGGCCTTTGATAGCTTCGCAGTCAATTAGCGTCAAGGGGCCAACTCTGTTAGAATTTTGATACCTTTCGGCTATATCTCTTTATTTAAGATTAGTTTAGTTTAATTCTTAAGTTCAAGCCCAAGTGTCGGATTTATTGTACTTCTCCAAGACGGAGTTTTGTTAAACTTTAGTTGGAATAGTAAAGGGTTATTTCACCCTTCTTACTTGTTGTTTTCTATCTCACGAACTACTAGTTCTTAAGGTTCTTCACTTTCAACTGTAACTTAGAAATACACAGTGGAGAATCCTACAACTTATTACAACCTTTTAATATTAATATGTTGTCTAACGTCCAATATAGCTGGAACGTATTATGTTGTTTGAGTTTTAAATGTACTTTGGTAACACCTTTACAAGCAAGACAAAAATAAATATTCTTAATGGTATTCTAAAACAACTAAATTGCGCCGTTCCGATGCAATACTTAGGACATTAGTGGAATTGTTCTGTTATTCGCTTTAAACCTTCATCAAATTATCATATTATGATAGATGCCGAAAAAATTAGTCATAAATTCAGAGGTAGAAACAGATAAGTTAATATGGAATACAAACATAAAAATCAAAATATGTTATCATATAAGGCATCTCGTGTACAGCTTACATCTTACATGCCAATAAGAGCGGAATTAAATCTGATACGTGTACTTTTAAAAAATTATTTGACGAAAAAAAAAGATGTTATGTTTTATAATTCCAAATGTCAATCTGCTGATTGTTATTTTATAGGAGATGGTTTCTTGAATTGAAAGAGGCCCTTACAGTAAGAGTCTGAAGCTAGCATTTGTTTCGCTACTGCAATATGCACGAAAACAGTTTAAATTTATTGTAACATTTCGCTTGTGGTCAGCCCTGGAGCGTGAATTTTACTTTCATCTCCGATCTGTAAATGCTTAACTTTTTGAAGGGTAGCAAAAAGCAATTAACGTTTTCAGCATAACTCTTGTTTTATTTACTGTATCAGGTGTTACAATGAAATTATTTGCCACAATTACACATATTTTGTCCAACACGCGTGAAAACAATGACCACTTCTGGTGGTTGCTGTCTGTAACCACCGCCCACAGAACACATCCCTACAAATCAGCCTCAATGGTACTCATGGAACAGTTTTTCTTTTTCAAGCAGAGTGCAACTTTGCATGTCCTGCATTCCCACACTGTTCTTACAGGCTTTTTCTTGGTGCTGCAGAGTGTACATCGTCGTGATGTTGTCTTCGATGGCTGACGCTTATTTTCTTGAAGACGGATTACTGCATCAACTACTGCTTATGTTTCTTGATTGGAATAACTGGTTTTTTCCCCTCAATCCGAGTGCAACTTTGCAAGTGCTGCATTCCCACATTGTTCTTACAGGCTTTTTCTTGGTGCTGCAGAGTGCACATCGTCGTGATGTTATCTTCGATGGCTGATGCTTATTTTCTTGAAGATGAATTGCTGGATCAACTACTGGCTTATATTTCTTGATTGAAATAACTGATTTTTTTTCTCAATCAGAGTGCAACTTTGCAAGTGCTGCATTCCCACACTGTTCTCACAGGCATTTTCTTGGTGCTGCAGAATGCACATCGTCGTGATGTTGTCTTCCATGGCTGATGCTTATTTTCTTGAAGACCAATTGCTGCATAAACGACTGGCTTATGCTTTTTGATTGGAATAACTGGTTTTTTCCCCCTCAATCAGAGTGCAACTTTTCAAGTGCTGCATTCCCACACTGTTTTTACAGGCATTTTCTTGTTGCTGCAGAGTGCACATCGTCTTGATGTTGTCTTCGATGGCTGATGCTTATTTTCTTGAAGACGAATTGCTGCATAGACTACTGGCTTATGTTTCCTGATTGGAGAGTGTACATCGTCGTGATGTTGTCTTCGATGGCTGATGCTTATTTTCTTTAAGACGAATTGCTGCATAAACTACTGGCTTATGTTTCTTAATTGGAATAACTGGTTTTTTTCCTAAGAGTACAATTTTGCAAGTGCTGCATTCCCACACTGTTCTTACAGGCTTTTTCTTGGTGCTGCAGAGTGCACATCGTCATGATGTTGTCTTCGATGGCTGATGCTTATTTTCTTGAAGACGAATTGCTGCATAGACTACTGGCTTATGTTTCTTGATTGGAATAACTGTTTTTCTTTTCCCTAAATCAGAGTGCAACTTTGCAAGTGCTGCATTCCCAAACTGTTCTTACAGGCTTTTTCTTGGTGCTGCAGAATTCACATCGTCATGATGTTGTCTTCGATGGCTGATGCTTATTTTCTGGAAGACGAATTGATGCATAGACTACTGGCTTATGTTTCTTGATGGGAATAACTGTTTTTCTTTTGCCTCAATCAGAGTGCAACTTTGCAAGTTCTGCATTTCCACACTGTTCCTACAGGCTTTTTTTTGGTGCTGCAGAATGCACATCGTCGTGATGTTGTCTTTGATGGTTGATGCTTATTTTCTTGAAGATGAATTGCTGCATAAACTACTGACTTATGTTTCTTGATTGGAATAACTGGTTTTTTCCTCAATCAGAGTGCAACTTTGCATGTGCTGCATTCCCACACTGTTCTTACAGGCTATTTCTTGGTGCTGCAGAGTGCACATCGTCGTGATGTTGTCTTTGATGGCTGATGCTTATTTTCTTGAAGACGAATTGTTGCATAAACTACTGGCTTCGTGATTGGAATAACTGGTTTTTTTTCACTCTTGGACCACCAAATGTGGATTCCTAGCCTCTGTCGTATTCGCCAACACATGAGTGAGTAAGACGTTCAATAGAAAAAGTGGTTACTGTGGGTAACCACTGCCCTTCAAAGAGCTAAGAGAACTAGTTGCAGAAACTAGAAAACTAGTTGTTTAGTCTACAACTAGAAACTAGTTATAGATATGGAAAAGGCATTTAACGAGTTGGAAACGTTTTAAAAACAATATCTAAAAGCAATTCTTTTACGACATTGACGTGAATATCTGAAAGATCTGCTATGGATGGTTCTGTACAGTATTTCAGCTATGCTATTTGTAATATGGCAATTATTGTATGGAACTCTTCAGTAAAGTGCGAAACATTAAAGGTGTATTTCTATAAAGGAATAGAAGGCGGCTCTTGATTTAAGATGATTAGAGAATTAGTATTTTTTCAATAGCAAGGTGATAGCTGTTACACATAAATTGCATTCTATGCCCAAAGTGAAAGTCTCATGTCCAAAGTGAAAGATGTTCACAAATTTAGAAGATATACGGGGTGTTGAGGTAATCTTGTGTTATTCTAGAGAAGGCAATTCAAGGCTCTTCCTTCCCTTTGGCTTGTGACGTAACGATGGTACTGAACAAGTCATACTAGAAACCAGTTTAATGTATCACATGCCAGAATTCTTTGCAGAATTACTTTTGAAAGCATGGCATCTTCTTAGAAATTTGCTGACTTCACACTCCGAAATTTATATATTCCATAAGTTTGTCACTAATTTTCAAATTCTACTTTATATTGCGTTTTTAATGTTCCATTATTTATGATGGATAGGCTAATGTTTAAAATGATGTTTTGCTTTTGATAGATTGGCTCGAATTGAAGAAGCTGTGTAATTAAAATGCGCCACTTAGAACAGTTATTTGATTCTAAAACTTTTTTTTTCTTCTCTTTCCAGTTTTTATGCCGACTTTGGTCCTTTAAATCTTGCGATGCTATATCGTTATTATTGTAAAGTCAACAAGAAATTGAAGGTAAGAAGAAATTAGTAAAAATGTTAATCTTTCTGTTTTTTGGGTGAAGGCACAGATTCCTACGAGTATGTGTTTAGCAGAATAATTACATCTTTATTACAGACTTAGTCATTTATATTGGGATTTAAATCTTGTTATGCAAACAACAGAAATATAAATAATTGAAAATATCGTCTAAGTGGTGTAAGAGCGATAAAATGCTGTACTAATTTCAAAAAACATTTTGGAAGATGTTTTCTTTATGATTTGATTTGACTATCACCATCGGAGTTAAATGAAAAGGTTTCAAAACAAAAAGGATATATGCTATTTGTGAACTAATTTTTATTATTATTATCAAATTCAGTTCACATCTATTTTTTCCCTAAGCTTTCTAATCTGTAATCTTGAAATCTAAATTTTTTAAAATCTTTTTAAAGTCTTATACTGATTGATGACTGTAATCTAATGAAATATTCTGTAATTTGAGAAAGGTAATTTTTTTTTCACTTTAAAGCCTATACTAATGACTGCAGTCTAATAAAGTAAGCTGTAATTATGAAATGAAAAATTTTTTCCGCCGTAAAGCCTTAGATTGATGACAGGATTCTAATAAAGCTGTAATTTTGAAATCTAATTATTTTCGTTTTAAAGCCTTATACTGATGACTACAATCTAATAAAGTAATTTGCAATTTTAGAAATCTGAATTTTTTTCGCTTTAAAGCCTTATACTGATGACTACAGTCTAATAAAGTAATTTGTAATTTTAAAAATCTAATTTTTTTCATTTTAAAGCCTTATACTGATGACTACAATCTAATAAAGTAATATGTATTTTGAGAAATCTAAATATTTTTCGCTTTGAAACTTTATACGCATGATTGCAATCTATAATAAATTAATTTGTAATTTTGAAATCTATCCTGTTTCACTTTGAAACCTTATACTGATGGCTGTAATTTAATAAATCTGTAATTTTGAAACCTAAATTTTTTTTTCGCGTTAAAGCTTTATACTGTTGACTGCAATCTAATAAAGTAATCTGTAATTTTGAAATCTAATTTCTTTTTTCGCTTTAACCCTTTGCGTCACATTGTGTCCGGTCTGGACACACCTAAAAATTTCCTTCTGTACGCATAGAAAAATTGAATGAAAAAGGATTTATAGGTTACTCTGAACCTTCTTTATTGATAGTAGATGACAGCTCAACACAAACCAGTCCATATTTTTTAGCCATGTTTAGTTTTTTAAGACCCTCATTTTTCAAAGAAATCTTCCAGATTATTTTAGGGTATAAAAGGAATTGTTTGAAAAGAAATTTCTATGTTATTTTTTTGGCTGTATGCTAATCGCCCTGTTCTATATTAGTTTTAAATTTCTACCTTGAAATGTTGCCTAAAATCGAACAGCGAACCCTTGGTGCTCCCAGACCGGGCTCACCGACAATCTAGGACAACTGAGAGTCTGTATTCTTTGTTTCTCTGCATCTCATCGGTCAGTTCCTTGACAACAATGCTCGTTTCGGCACTCTTTTTGAAGCTCTATTCAATCAGTGTGCCAGTTTGGGCACACCCACAGAATTAAAACGATAAGTGCTATCTTCACAAAATTTTACGTGCGAAATTACTAGGCATAATTAGACTGCCTACCTTTTTTTTTTTTAATATATATATATCAAAACTCCGACTTTAAACGGTAGCGTGACGGAAAGGGTTAAAGCCTTATAATGATGACTGCAGTCTAATAAAGTAATCTACAATTTTGAAGTCTAATTTTTTTTTTTTTTTTTTTTTTTTTTTTTTTTTTTTTCCCTCTTGAAGCCTTATACTGATGACTGCAATAATAATTCTTTATACATTTTTTTTTTTTTTTTAGTTAGTACCATTTTAGTTTTTAGTTAGTCCATACTGAAAAGTTTAAATAATACTTGTGATGGTTTTTTTCTTAATTAACGTGCTTATTCGTGTATATTCCACCTGTTTAGTTAACTGTAACCTCTGAAAGTCACGAATACAAAACTACGCGGTTGATGTCATTTCTAGAGGAAAGGTTACTAATTAGAATAGTAGATGCATATAAGTTACTTTTACCAATGCTATTGTACTACGCATTAAAAAAAATTGTGTTAGAGTTCATGGTTTCAGTTTTATTTCTTTTAACACACATTAGGCAGAATATCCGAAATAGAAGTATACCCAGATCGAATTTCAAGACAATACTGCTTTTATCAGAATATATGTAATTTACGGATATATATATATACCTTACACAAAAAAGGGGTCAGTTTTGTATCTTCCGTTCTACTGGACAGGTGGTCTAAATTTAACTTGCATTTTCCATGTCTCGAAAGTGCGACTTAGAGGATATATATTAGATTTATATATAGCATTGTTCTAACACAGGTATTTTGACACAAAATTGTATTTTTTCTGAAATAACCTACCAATTTTTACTTCCTTGTACGAAGTAGAAACGAAGTATTGTAATCGCGAAAAGTTTCAGGCAGCATATTTCAACGAAAATATACCTTTTGACCGTTTTCAAATGCAATTTAACGATGTTTTTGCGTGATATTTGTACGTAAGGACAGAATAAAAGACTCTTTTCCTCCAAAAAAGTTATAAAACTGCTTTAAAATGAATTCTGAACAGAATGTTTCGTGGCGGCTGAACGAACGTATGTACGTAGGTACGTATCTCGCATAACTCAAAAACGAGTAGCCTCAGAACGTTGAAATTTTGTATATAGGACTGATATAACATGCAGATGTGCACCTCGTATTTTGGTTGCAATCGGCCGCGCCAAGCGTATATAAATATATTTATATATATATCCACTCTGTTACCCGGCTCAGTGATCTCTTTCTTTACTCTTATATGTTTGTAAATTGTACATTTTTTTGCTTTAAATATGATTGAATTATGTTGTTCTTATCTTCCGGTTAAGGTTTTTATGCCTTTAGTAAATCTGTATGCGATATTTTTAGAATTATCAACAATTTAAAAGTTGTTTAAGTGCCGCTAAGCCTAATAATTTTTTTTGATTTCGGCCATTGCTTGTTTACATTTGAAACAGCAGCTTAGCAGATTTGTTGCCAATCTAGAGAAACGTAGTTTCGCAACAACAAACATAAAGCCTTCATTAATTATTGCGATTTAAATCATGCCTAATCTTTTCTGGAATTTTTCGAGGAAATAAGTGTTTAAGATTTACTTCGTAATTTTTAATATAGATATTTTGAATTTTTATGTATTTTTGCCTTCTCGCGAAGTGAGAACTGAATTAATTGAATGAGATGTACTCAATCGTCTGTTGAAAAACTGTTTTTTTTTTTTGTTTTGTTTGCTTAATTTCCTTTTATACATCGTTTCTAGCTTTATTATAGTATTTGAATAGAACATGTGGCAACGATTAGATAATTCTTTAAATGATATAAATTTATGTGCATTCTGAGTTGTACATATGAACGAAATATAATACTGCTATTAAGTGAACCTAGCGTCAGAGTGTCGCTGATGGTAAACAAATAGAGTGAATTTTAAAGAGAGCATTTATTCTATTGTGGTTTATGCGCTGTCGGCGAAGTAGATTTTATTCAATTCCAATAAGTTTAAACAAAATGCAAGAAAAAATGCGTATAATTTAATATTCCGTACAAGGAAGTCATGTGGTGTACACATCAGATTTTTTTCCAGATTACGATACTATGACTCAGATTATGCCCAAAGTGCAAAGTTTTGTAAAAATTGCAGGAGTAGTTTTTAAGAAATGAGCTCTCAAAATTTTAGCTCCTGTATGTTAATTGAATATGGTATATATTTATTAATATCCCTTTTTTTATTAAACTTATCTGATTCTTCCTTTCGCATTTCGAAATTTACGTTCATTCCAAATAAAATTCGCCCGCCTTTTTATGATTAATTTTTAAAATTTGTATTTTTAAATAATTTGCCTAAGTTTTTCTAAAAAAATTTTTGAATTATAACTTACAAAATTTTTACCATCATCTTAAAAATAGATGATTTTCTAAGCATAACTGCTTAAAATTAAATTTTTTATTTCGAATTTCCTAAGATATACGTGAATTAACATATTGGCACGTTTTGAAATTTGGCATATGCGTTGCGATAATAACGCCAAATGTGGTTAACGCACTTTGTTAAAATTATTTGAAGGTATGAACGATGATAATAATTCCGCTCGAGTGCAATGCAAAAAATCTGATGTGAACGCCACATGACTTCCTTGTACTGAATATTAAATTATACGCATTTTTTCCTGCATTTCGTTTAAACATATTGGATTGAATTAAATCTACTTCGCCGACAGCGCATAAACCACAATAGAATAAATGCATTCTTTAAAATTCACTTTGTTTACCATAGCGACACTCTGGCGCTAGGTTCACTTAACAGTATTATATTTCGTTCATATTATAACTCAGAATGCACAAAATTTATATCATTTAAAGAACAGAATTAACTAATCGTTGCCACATGTTCTATTCAAATACTATAATAACGCTAGAGCGATGTATAAAAGAAATTAAGCAAACAAAACAAAAAAGAAACAGTTTTTCACAAACGATTGAGTATTTCTCATTCAGTTAATTCAGTTCTCACTTCGCGACAAGGCAAAAATACGTAAAAACTCAAAATATCTGTATAAAAATTACTAAGTATTAAAAATTAAATTATTAAAAATTAAGTAAATCTTAGACACTTATTTCCTCGAAAAAATTCCAGAAAGGATTAAGCATGATTTAAATCGCAATAATAAATGAAGGCGTTATCTTTGTTGTTGCGAAGCTACGTTTCTCTAGATTGGCAACAAATTCACTACTCTGCTGTTTCAAACGCAAACAAGCAATGGCTGCCACCAAAAAAATTTTTAGGCTTAGCGGCACTTAAACAACTTTAAAATTGTTGATTATTGTAAAAATATTGCATACCGATTTACTAAAGGCATAAAAACCTCAACCGGAAGATTAAAAACAACATAATTCAACCATTTTTAAAG